CAGTTTTTGTGTTGGATGTAAAAGGCGCACATGACGCTGTGACGTAGGCTAGAATCATGGCAGCAGTCAATGACGGTCCAGGCATGGGATTTCTCTCGTGGAAATATGTATTATCTTTTCCTTTCTATTGGTAGGTGGCACAGTGCACTTGTGGCAAGTAAGCAAGCTAGAAGACTGGCAAAGTTGTGGAAGCAACACATTAACAAGAGAATTCTGAGTAAAACCAAAGTTACTTTCCCTAGTAACTAGTTACTTTGAAAGTAACGAGTAACTTGAAGTAACTGAGTTACTTTTGATAGAAGTAACTAGTAATGTAACTAAGTTACTATTTTAAAGTAACTTACCCAACACTGGTGAAATCACAACAACCATCACCTGAAGGTTCTTTATATTGTAAGGTAGAACCTACAATAAAATGTAATTGTAATGTGTTCTTTTTATGTTGTTTATTACATTTTACAGGCTGCTGAAAAAGCCAAAGGTTTAGTAAATAAATCTTTTTCAGCAGTAAAATATTACAAAGTCTGCTTACTGTCAGAACTGTTTTTACATTTAATTTATCTCTGAAATTGTGCTGAGCACCATGTTGCTCTGCAGCAGCAGATTGCTTTGTAACACAGCTGCACTCATTCATGCAGTCTGGAAGCTTTCCACTAGAACCAGTGCCTTCACAGCCTTCCCATTTAAACTGCAGCAGGTTTGGACTTTTGCATCAAAATAGAATTTTGAAGTTATGACTTGACAAAATGATCAATAATATTTTTTCTCTTAATGCAGCCCGAATATGTCGTTTCACATGAACGCTACATTCTTTATTTTCTTTGAATATTTTGATCCTACATACAACGACATTAAGCTAACGCAGAAATTCCACAAACTGCATTTCCTTGAATGCTCAGTTGAGGCTAGCTCCCAAAACAGATTGATAGCTAAAGGCTCTCATATTAAAATAACCTGCAGAAACAAACATGTTTACATACTGGTATAAAAACCAGTTTGGGTTTTCATAGCTCATTTGTTTAGGGCCTAAGAACTGCATTTTCATGGGCGTGGCCAAGCTAACTCAGGCTGCGAGGAGCATTCCTGCCTTTTGGAAAAATATGCAACTTCTTTTAACCATCTAAAAAATAACGTGGCTTTCTATTAGGGGTAGGGGGAGAAATTGATACAGCACAGTATGGCGATAGTTTGTTTGGTGATATTGTATCACTACAGAAAACTAAATATCAGTATTTTATTAGGTAATTCAAATATTCTGGGAACACTATGAACAAGAGGGCTTATCTCATTCACCAGCATTCTGAGATAATGTTAGCCGAGCAAACTTGAATTAAATCTGCTCACCTGCAAAACCATCGAACACAGAATCCAAACGAGGTTGTAGGGACTTACTTCACTCAGTGATGTTAAAATCAATCCATAACATTTATGTGAAGTGGGGTTTTTTTTCACAGATTATTGGTTGATATTCTGTCTCTCTCCATTAGATTTAAACTGTTATAAAAATGTAGAGACTGTTTTTTTGTAATTGAGCAAACTTACAAATTCAGCAGTGGATCAAAATTAAAAAATGTTCCCACTCAGTCACAGACTGATATCTGACTGACTTATAACAGCATTTGACAGGTTTTAGTAGAAGAAAAAAACTGAAGTGAAATAACTTTATCTTATTGGATAAAACAGAAACTGAAAAAGTTTGACTTCATTTACATAATTTGCAGCTGAAAAACATGATAAATTGCAATACTCAGCATATTGCAAAAATCTTAAATCGCAATAATGTCATATTTTGAGTACTGTGATAATACTTTCTGTGTACTTAACTGTACTAACAGCCTTTCTAAGAAGTCAAAGTTGTGCTGAGTGAAGCTGTATTCATTTGTATGCTACATACCATTAATTAGCAGGTATTTCCTGTAGCCATTAATCTGAAGTAGAGAGCTTACGCCTGACTCTTCATGTCTCGAGGGGCTCGATGGCTGATGCTAATGTTACCAACACTTGCCAAGGGAGCAACCTCAAGGCTGCCGAGTGTTCAGCTCGTCTGTTGGCTGATATCTCCACACCTCTCCTCGTAGCTTCGGGTCTGCCCTCGCAACATAAACATATAATCTGCTCTTAGCAACTTATTAGAGTATAACCTTTCTCTGCGCAACCCTAGGGACCTAGTTTGAGCTCAGAGGGATCACCATGGAAACAGCAGAGTTTTGAGCAAGCCAGAACACAGAAGTGTCAAAATCATCATCCCGACTCCAAACGGCAAAACGGTGACCTGAAGAGACCACAAGTGGGGATGAAACGCACCCCGTCCTTAGAGGCCACAGCTGCACTTACCTGTCATAGTTTGAAATTTTTAAAAAAAGATAGTGGACAGCTGTGAGCAAATCGAAGACTTCCCAGTAAATAACTAAATTGCAATAAAAGTGATGCTCGTCCTTAAACACATTCAGATGGTAGCCTGTTTGATGAATTTCTGGTTCTGTCACGTTTTATCACTCCAAAGTGTAATAGAAATCAAACATATCAGTGTCTTGTATTGTCAGCAACGGCTGGTTCATTTGGTTTTATTGCACCAAGCTTTTCTTTGCTGTCAGCTCCATAAAGAGTACTGTACACCTTTAAGATCAGCTCCCTTCAACCAGTGTGTGGTCAGCACTTCCTTTGGGGATATGCACATCAACTTAGGATGCAAGCCCAGACAAAGTAGTGACAGTGATGTCTTTATTCAGTTTTTTTTTTTTCATGTTTTTTACCCTTTAGATAACAGACTGACCCAGGGGAAGCAGGCTGGGGAAGAAGGTGGAGGAAGGAAGGCTGCTTGACTAAGGGTATATGGGAGGTAGCGTAAGGCCTTGTGTTGGCAGCAGGGAGGAAGCGGTTGTAGTCCAAACTGTGTTCAAACCTTTAACCCACTGATTGGTTTTATGCTGCGGCTGCCAGAGTGCTGTCAGCAAGAGGAACACAGTGAGTGATGGGGTAGGGATCCTGCTTACTCTGTCTCTGCGGACCTCTGCTCTCACTTAGCTTTAATTACACTGACCAGAGTGGAGAATTTACACCAGTCAGCCTCTCTGCTCTCTTGTCACCCTGCTTGATTCTTTTATCTTTCCCTGCAGAGTTTCAGAGTATGTGGGACGATGAATCGCAGCATCCTCACCGACGCTCTGTTGACTGTGCTCTCGTTTCTGTGTTCTCTCTCCAGACGAGGTGACGATGGAGGAGGTCGGCGATGCTGCCCAGCTGAGGGCGGGAGAACTCATCATCATCGTAGTGGTGCTCGTCATGTGGGCAGGTAATATTTCTGTTCAGCGATGCACATTTGTCACCACGGACCTCGTAGGAATCCACTGTCTTTGGGGCAAATGTTCCTGTTAAGAGACAAACAGTGGCTGTGGTATCATCCCTCTGTAATGAGTGCCAGACGCCTGCAGGGCCTTCGAGATGATGTAAAGATAGCTAATGTGAATTTGGGCGGTAACGCATCAAATCCAAGTCTCAGTTTGATAAACTCATCAACAGGAAGCAACTGCAAAAAATAAGCTAATGGCTTATCAGCAGACAAGCAGCTCTTATAGGAAAATGCTTATCAAAGATGTGTTTATTTAAAGTAACATACATACTTCCTTTATTATGTTATAAATGGTGCTGGTACATAGCAAGACTCCTGTTATTATCAAACCTGACTGCTTCCTTAATATTCCCATGACATGGATAATGCATGTGAGATGGACTGGTACTTATTTATGGTACCTTTCTATTCAGTAAGTGTTTCTTATTACAAGTCTCAATCATTTAAACACAAATTCACACACATTCAATTCAATTTTATTTATACAGCGCCAAATCACAACAACAGCCACCTCAAGGTGCTTTATATTGTACGGTAGACCCTACGATAATACATACAGAGAAAAACCCAACAATCATATGACCCCCTATGAGCAAGCACATTAGCGATAGTGGGAAAGAAAAACTTCCTTTTAGCAGGAAGAAACATCCGGCAGAACCAGGCTCAGGGAGGGGCGGGGCCATCTGCTGCAACCACTGGGGAGTAGTGATGGGATTTCAGGCTCTTTTTAGAGAATCGGCTCTTTCGGCGCGGCTCACTAAAAAGAGCCGACTCTTTCGGCTCCCAACCTGCTCTTCAGGTTGTTTTGTTGCTTTAATTAATTTATTATTAACAACAATATAAAATTATACACAAAAGGAATTACTAATGCAAAAAATGTGGTTTTATTTATATATGTTTATATATAAATATATACGGTGGCCCCTTGAGACAAAGCACGTACAAACTCCAAAACACACTTCTAGCGTTAACTGAACTTCCAAAAAAGAGCTACCTAGATCACTTAAATTACACAATTGAAAGCATATGTGTATTGTTTGTGTATTTATACACAAGCACTCATATATATTCAAATAATTCAAAAAAAAATTTCATTTATGTGTTACTACCACACACCAAATCCGGTCGTTGGTACTTCCTGGCTTGTGTAGCCACTAGGAAACAAAAGCTTTTACGTGTTTTGGAGTTTTTACGTGTTTTGAAGTTTGTACGTGCTTTGTCTCTAGGGGCCACCGTAAATATACTTTTATTTATTCACTCCACATAAAATGTAATAAATAAATCATATAATACAACTATTTACATTTCAACTTTTAACTATTTAAATTTTCAGCTTTTTCATTTAAACAAATTTAAAGTGAAAGAACACAAAACACTACAAACCACAACACAATTCAATATAAATTAAAATATGAAAACAAAAAGAAGATGCACATTCTCTGTCATATGGACCTGCATGAATAAACCTTCTGAATCCTTTATCATCTGCAACTGAAAACAGTTGTGGATGATTACTATACCTTTCTAATGTGACGTGTTGTCCCTGGCCCTCTTTCTCGGTCTCTCCCTCCTGCTCTGTTCCTGCTACTGCGAGTGTAACTACCGCCCCTCCCCCCTCTTCCCAGCGCAAAGCACAAGGCTCGCGTGCAGAGTGACGAGAGTGCGAAAGTGCGAGAGAGAGGGTGAGAGAAAGGAGCCAATAAGGAGTCGGCTCACGTCGTTCTCTTCAAAGAGTCGGCTCTAAGAGCCGTTTCGTTTGCGACCGACACATCACTACTGGGGAGAGACCGGTCTCCCCAACCAGTCACTGTATTCCAGTGGATACAATGGTTTGTGTCAGGATTTACTACCGGATACATTGGCATGAGGACTGTAGGAGTCAGGGATCGATTCCCGACAATCTATAACCACCCGTCTGTAAAACATTGTCCAGTAACAATACTAAACTTACAGCCCTGCTAGCAGCTCTGTGATGATGCTAGCCTTAATGCTGGGGTGGCTGTAGCTCAGCTTAGTGGCAGAGCAGGTCAGCCACTAATCAGAAGGTCGGTGGTTCGATCCCAGGCTGCCTCCTAGCTGCATGCCAAATATCCTTGGGCAAGATACTAACCCCATGTTTGCCTACTGGTGGTGGTCAGAGGGCCCGGTGGCGCCAGTGTCCGGCAGCCTCGCCTCTGTCAGTGCGCCCCAGGGCAGCTGTGGCTACACTGTAGCTTGCCATCACCAGTGTGTGTGAATGGGTGAATGACTGAATGTAGTGTAAAGCGCTTTGGGGTCCTTAAGGACTAAGTAAAGCACTATACAAATGCAGGCCATTTACCATTTTACCATTTTAATGCTGCTTCAAGCTAAATGCTAACATTAGGATTCTACCATATTTACCATTTTCACCATTTTGTTTTGACCTTGCTTCTATGCTAAATGTAAAGCACTGATGGTTCTGCTAGATTACATGTCAAAAGATCTTTGACATTGTGACGGTGAGACAGTTTGCTTGAAATCAGTTGAAATCATCATGTGAGAAGGAAAATTCTGTTTGTCAACTAAACCTTAAGAAAGGTTCATCTTGGAACCATGAGTACCAGATAAAAGTAGGAGGGTTGTGTCAGGAAGGATATCCTCCATAAAGCCCTGTCAAATCAAACATCTGGATCCGTCTGCTGTGGTGAGCCATTGGAAAGATAAGGGAAATAATAATAATGACTAAAAACATCAACGTGTTGCTAGTTTGACTCTGGAAACTCTGGAATAGCCGGTTGTAGTTAGGCAGAGCAACTCGGATCATAACCTCAACAGGAAATTACACAGATGACATCTTTCTTCTCTTTACTCTCAGACTGCAAGCTTACTTATGATCCCTGCAGGCTTAGACTGCTAGGCATTCCCATGATGCATTGAGTATTTCTTATTCACTCTTTTTTACTTTCCTGGTGTTTTTATCACTCATTTTAATTCATTTTCATCTCTGGCTCTCTTGCATGTGTGCATTTCCCCCCTCACCCCACTGGTCACTACTGGGGTTTCTTCCTGTTAAAAGGGAGTTTTTCCTTCTCACTCTCACAGAGTGCTTTTTCATATGGGGATCATCTGATTGTTGGGGGTTTTCTCTTTAATATTTGTAGGATCTTTATCTTACATTAAAAAGTGCTTTGAGGTGACAGCTGTTGTCATTCAGCACTGTATGAATTGAATGGATTTGAATATCTGTCTTCTGCAAACAATCTGTAATCTGTGTGCAACTCTCCACTCAGTGTCAGAACAAAAAAATAAATATATAAATAAAACTCATCCTTTTATCACTATTGAGCAGAGTTACATAAACTAGTGTAATGTATCTGTCTGTTAAAGGGGCAAAGATTCATCCTCTGGGGATTACCCACACAGTCCCATAAACCAACCTCTGGGCCACGGACCGGTACTGGTCTGTGAGTCATGTGGTACCGGGCCGTGAGAGTTGAGGCTCGAGTGTGAAATTGATGGTTTTCAGGGTTTTTCATCGTTAACTCGGTTTCCCTGGTTCTTTTCCTGTGTTGTAACTGTGCGTCTTATTTTGAAAGAAATATTTACGCGTTACCATAGCAACCAGAGAGCATTAAGGGGCAGACAGGAGGATGTTACTCTCAATGTTGTTGGCGCATTTCAGGAGGACGCTGCTAATAAAGTTACACAGTTACACAGTGAATTTGTGTTTATTATTATATTTACAAAATACCACAGTTTTTGTCTCAGTCGTATCATTTTATTTAGTTGTATTTATCCGCAACACCTTAAAGGCCAGACCGTGAAAATATATCTGACATCAAACCGGTCCGTGGAGCAAAAAAGGTTGTAGACCGCTGACATATACGACCATAGTCAGTTCTACTTCCTACCAGCTGCAGAAACTCTGACTCATTCTTTATAGCGAGCTGTTGCTCAATAACAGAGGACTTTACGTTGAAATGAATTTTACATCACAGTTCACTTTTTCACTCAAGGTTAAGTGCTTTGCTGTGGAAAAAGTAGACTAAATTACACATCCACATACAAGAATGTGGCTACTTGTTACTTCTTCTTCTAGTTATTAGTTGTATGATGCGTCTCAACACTGTTTCACACATGCAGCTATAAATATCGCTTCCTAACCCACTTCACCAAGTGCAATGATATACAAATATGACCCAAATACTGTATAAGGTATATACAGTACACACAGTACTCTGCAGGAGACCTGGATCTCCACTGCCTATTAGCTGTGAGAGGACATGAGACGTGGATTCAAAGACAGTTGGGAGATAGAAAAGAGAGAAAAACTGAGTCAATCGAGTTTTGAGAAGAGAGGAAAAAAAGAAAAAACGAGGGCATAGTGAAAAAAAACTGAAAGTGAAGGAGGCGAATTATGTTTTTCACTTTTTAATTGGGCCTGTGGGGAATGCTTGGGGGATATCACAGCGAGATATCCCATCTCACCCTTTGGTATTGCAGTGATCAGATGAGCGGAGGCTGACATAAGCAGAACCACTGAGGCTGGAGCCCATTCAGGCCTGGATTGCACCCTCCACGTGCTCCCCCACCTTCATGAATTATTCCCTTTCTCCTTTTCTCCACGCTTGTTCGCTATCTGCCGTCGCATCTGTAACTCCTCTGCCATGTTTTTAATCTCCCTGACTTGAAGGCAGGCTCCATGCAGCTATCTCAACATCACTTTCATATCACCATCTGCTCATTTCACGCTGCCTGTGTCTGTTTCTCTCAGCCCCGTTTGAATGGCTTTATTGACACATCAGTAGCACGTATCATATCTTGCAGCTGCTGAAAGAAAAATATTTTCATGTTTTCATGTTTTGGTTTAAATCGGGCTATTTTATCAGCTTGTCAGCAAAGTTTCTAACATAAACTGTTTTACAAGAGGTGATCAATGTCTAACTGAGTGACTAAAACAAGACTTTTTCTGTCTTATAACTATTTATCTGTTACTTAATTACTTTGGTGTAGTATGAATGGCCATGGGGGAGGTCATTATCAGTAGGAAAAGCACTAAACGTATTAAAATACATTTTAAAAGTCCAACATTTACACTCTACGTCACATTTTCTAAAGCTGTCCAGTGGGCCAGATTGGAGTCTTTGCTGGGCTGACGTCTGACACCCTTTCGCAGTCTTTATCATCGGGGATAATATTAAATGACCCTATATGAATTGTAGCACTGAAGTTTTTCTCAGCATTAGCCAGTGGAGCTGTGTTTGCCATATAACAAGAATAAGGCTCTTAATGTATCTACAGCAGAAACAGGAGTCAAGAGTAATACAAGGGAATGTGCTCATTTAAAAAATAAAAATAAAAATAAAAAGCTGTAGCTCTTTCAGATTAATTTCATCTATTATGGCGAGAAGCAAGTGTGGAAAAGCATGAAATAATACCATGCTGGATTGATTGGAAGGAGGATGTTCTTGGACAAGAAATCAGGCAACACACAGAGTAATGTATTTTTTTTCTGCTCTTTGCACCTTTCAGGTTAACATCCAGATTCACATTTAGAAATGATTGCCTGGTGTTCATGCCTCTCTGAATGTGGTAAGCACGAGAGGCGTCGTAGCCTACAGCTTCCTAGTGCTGTTATTAGCGTCTTCTGCCACTAAAGTATAGCAGACCCATGGGACGCTCCCCTAAGTATGCAGAACATTTCATTGCAGTGCATTTTAAACCTCTTATGGAAAAGGCAGAGAACTTCATGGAGTTATGATTTTATATGCACCCACCTGCCTAAGACTTTGTGGCATCCATATAAAGCAGCAGTGGGATTTTTTTTTATTACAAAAAATGATTTGAATTATGAGATCGCACTGCCACTCAATAATTTTTGGCAAACAAAATGTGTAAAGTGATCTCACTCAGTCCCACAGCATCTCCTCCTTTCATCCAGATCCAGTTTTGCTTTTTTTGTTGCTAATGTTTTGGGTTTTTCTCCCTCCAAATTTGGGTTATATTTAACTACGTTCATAAACTTTGTTAAATGTATGAAAAATTAGATTTGGTTATGTATAGATACTACATATATATATATATATATATACACACACACACACACACACACACACACACACACACACACACACACACACACATAAGGTATAAAATCATATAAATGTTACTGTTATTATTTTACCAGAAAACTATGATGTACATTTGTCTCTCAGGTGTGATCGCCCTGTTTTGTCGTCAGTATGACATCATTAAGGATAACGAGCCCAACAACAACAAGGACAAAGCCAAGAACTCCTCAGAGTGCAGTACCCCAGAGCACCCGCAGGGGGGGTTACTGCGAAGCAACGTCTAAGATCAGCCCTGCGTCACCTTCTGCAATAACCAACTCCTTAAACCTCAGGACAGGTGAGAGACTAGAATTCTTTTTTACTATTATCTGCAAACGATCCCATCGTACGTCATACCTCAGAAATACCCGTCTTATTGTGTTTTTATGATGTATTTATGTCTTTTTGAGGCAGCAACCTTAATTAAGTTACGATATCAATGTTTTCTCTTTGACTGACCATTTATTGATCCCCTTTGCTGATATGTCATTGTATCATTGTGTTTTATTTTGGTTGTGGGCGTAGATGGTATGTAAAGATGGATGTAGTCACTGCAGCAGGTAGATCCTGACTGAGTTATCAGGAAGCTGATATTAGTGAACGGTCAATCAGTTGAAACAAACCTTTGGAACAACAAACCTAAAGAGACACTTAAAATCACCTTTACCCAGATGAACATGGATCGTTTTAAATGAGCTAACAGAGAAAATGTGAAAGCTAAAGCTAAGCTATTCAAAATTTGCTAGCCACAAGCTATCAGCCTCAGTATGAGCAAAGAATAAGAGTGGTTTATAAACATACTGGAAAATAATGTAACCTTACATTTTTTTTTTAGTTATATGAATCTGTTGCAGGTGCTTGCTTTGTTTGGTAAGGTAAAACATGTCAGATAAAGGCAGATGTGCAGCAACTCATTTTCAGCTAATAATTCCAATAGCAGAGCACTTTGTCTTCAGGTCTTTGGTAAGAGAAGGTCCAGTAAAAATGTAATAATTTATTCTTTTTGCATCAGAGAAAAGTTCATTTTAAAAAAAATCGGAAAAGTAGAAACAGCCTTTGATCATGTTATGAGTGATGTTGCATAGCTTGTCCGTTAGAGGGAGCTCTGCAACTTCCTTGTCGGCTGTTTGGAAAGCCACAAACAACAACCAACTAACCTGACCAGAGTCAGGGATGGCGTAAATTAGTAAAAATAGAACAACATAAACAACTTAAAAATTTGTTTATGTTTTATGTGTCTGAAAGGAAAAAAAATAGCCAATATATAATAATATTGGGCTTTTAAAATCACCAAATATTGGTGTTGTTATTGGTCTTGAAAATCCCATATCCTTCAGGCTCTAGTGACATCAATCACCAGTGTTGGG